GAAGTACAAAGGAAAAGCACTCTGTAAGACCTCTTTACGATTATAAGTGGACATTTAATATCTTCTGCTGCTCTTCTCACTCTCACATTGTATTCACGCGCCGGTGATTACGTTTCTGCCCACTCGGCTAACAAAAACTACGATCTCAATTCAATCTTTAAGCTGAACCCAAATGGATCCGATCAGGGATTTGAAAGGTATTGTTCAACCTCACATACGAGAACCCTTCAACGCTGAAGTCAAGAACTCTCAGGTAGGGGTTCGGTGTCTTGTTTATGGGTACGCAGGGGATCAAACCTGTGACTTAACCGACTTAAGAATGTGTGTCAAGCAGAAAAGAGCATTAGCACTGTAGAAAGGTCTGACAGAAGCCATTATCATTCTGGTGTAGGGGTAAGTTCTGTAAACCAATCACAGTCGTCTTGGGCAGCGCTCTAAGCCGTGGACGCAGCGACGGCTGGTCCTTCCAAAAAAAGTGCTAGCAGCTGCTCGCCTGTTTGCGTTTGTACTGTTTGCAACCAGGCAAGGGTTCGGGTAGCTTTACATTTTCAGTGTGTAGGTCGCTATCTCCGTGGCTGTTGTGTCACGCAGCGACGGGGACTAAAACAAACACGCAGACCGTGTGAAATTGTCTCCCAGTGGAAGGCCAACAGCCTACTTCCTGTGAGTCAGACCAGTCACCTCCTGCTCACTCAGGAACACTCTGACTCTTTTCCTCAAATTCAATAACCAAAATAAATACCACTACCCCCGAGCTGAACTCTCTCTCACACACACACACACACACACACACACACACACACGCGCACTGTGGGTAACGTTTATATTGGCTATTGAGACAGACTTTGGAGGTGTTTGTTGTAAAGGCCAGACATGTAGTGACAAATGTACAGTGAAACCAAGCTGCTGGTAGGAAATGATTCGTACAAGATGATACCAGCAGTGACTTCACCGCACACACACACACACACACGCGGCTACCCTGTGAGTAATGCTGATGTCATGTGCTTTGACTAGCAATGTCTGCCGCTCAGAGCAGATGTGTTTTTGCATATGTGTGTGCTCTTATATGTCAGAGGGGGTGTAACAGGTATATGTAACCCTACAATTACAACTTCACAGATCCAGATGAGGAGCTGTGTGCGGGAGAGACGAAGAGCGACAGACGGTTGATAGTTTGAAGTGAGTCAGGGTCTCTGTAGCTGCTTTACAAGTCTGGGATGTCTGAATTGATCTGACTTCAAAGTATTTAAATGCCCTAAATGCAGCTGTTAGAGGTGCATGATGGGACTGCAGGTTTATTTGAGCTGCCTTTGTTGTTTTGGATGCTCATTACAAATAAGTCTTATCTTAAGAGACATGTTGAATTTTGTATTGTGGTCAAAACCTGATGAAATACGACTAAAAAACTGTCTGCACGGATTGATACTTTTTTGTTTGGGTGAATTTAATTTAAAATGAGAGCTTTTCCCCCCAAGATGTGACTATTTTTAAGGTCTTCTGAAGTACAAATTTAGGGAACCCCCCTTTTTTTTCTATCATGTCTACATTGTCCTTTGATCACCACATCTCAAGTGTATAACGTGGATTATCCTCTGTTATACTTTCTTCCACTGTGTCTTTCATCTTTCCTGTCACGCTCTGATGCATTATGTCCAGTACAGCTGACACGCCTTAAACATAATCTTGTTTTTTTTAAATAAAGGCCAGAGCATCATTAGTTTCAGGTTCCAAACTTAGTTTCTATGAGACAATTTTCAGTTCACCAGAATGTTTCTCTTCTTCTTGCTTATTTTCTCTTCTCTCTTTATGACTTCTTGTTCCTTTTTTCTAAAGTTTCGGCAAATTTTTCTCGCTGCCTTTCGTTCTCCTCCGTCTCTATAGCCTTTCTCTCTCCTCCTTTGGTTTCGCTCCCTCTGTCTGCAGACTAAACATCATGTCTCAGACAGAAGAACTGTGTGTGTTTGTGTGTGTGTGTGTGTGTGTGTGTGTCCCTGCCTGCACGCTTATCTTGTCTTTCTGTTACAAGTCTAGGCAATGATCTGGTTTCACTGACTGATTGCTATTTCTTAATGTTACAACTATTATGATTACAACTGTTAAGATCTATGTGGGCATACTTTAGTGTACATTTGATCGGCCCTTAAACCGTAACGCTGTAGCATACTATATTTTGGACAATGGTGTGCTTTGAACTTTGTGGCTACAGTTTAGTGACGGCCCTTTTCCTGTTTTGACATGACAATGGCCCAATATGTGAGTTTTTTCCCAGTTTGGTGTCAAAGAACTTGACCCTGACTTCCACATCGAGCACCTTTGGGATAAACTGCACATCTGACTACAGCAGCATAATGTCCATGGCTTTGGAGGGACCTGTTGTCTTTACGTATGGGTGTCATGGGCGTTGGAAGTAGAGGTGCTGAGGGGGCTGGAGCACCCCCTAAAATATGGCATAATGAAAACCATTAGCACATTTTCTTGTTTTTTTATCAGTTTTATCTGCTAGAAACTTATAGAATATGTGTAAAATGTGGTTCATAACTATTAAATAATGAAATATCCTCAAATTAATGCAAGACCCATTAATTTCATGCATTTAGCATTTATTATGACGTCCTTATAGAGAAAGATTTTCTCTCAGCACCCCCAACTCTTCCACACACTTCCAGCCTCCCTGATGGGTGAAATGTTGTTATATGTCCACATACTTTTGGCCACGTAATGTATTGTTATTACTACTGCTGCAGTTTTCCTGACTAACGTATTAGCACTGCTGCTACTTCTAATGCTAATACTAGTATTAGTTCAACTGCTGTTACTTCTGTTAGTATTAATGCTATTATTCCAACTATTACTGCTACAAATACTGCCTTTACAACTCCATTACCAACACTGCAACTGAATATATTAAGAGTATCGTGTATAATAGTATTACTGGTTTTTAAACTGGTCTGGCGAGGCTCAATAAGCATCTGTTCAGGACAAATGACATTTCAAGTAGGCTGCATGGCTGATGACACCAGCGTGAACCCTTCCTACACATGAAAAGGCAAATGCATTAGTCACTGGCTTCTCGATAATCTTTGCGTCCACATTTAAAAATGGAAAGTCATAACATGCCTGTCATCAACCATCCAAGAAAATCAGTTTCTAAATAAATCTAAGGTGGAAAAGAAAAGGGGGGCATGGAGTCACTGAATCACGCTTCTTTTTAAGTCCGTAACAAATTGTTTTTCACAAGGTTTGGGATTTTCGAGGCTGAATTCATCTCCGTGCGTGCTTTCCAGGCTTGAACCGCGTCGTGTGAACTGAGCGCACGCATTCTAGTCTGGCTTTGTGAGGATAAATGCTCGCTTCCCATTAAATTATTAGGTATTTTGTTTTATTACCTACAGGATTAACTGATTAATTGTTTGGTCTATAAAATGTAATGTAATGTTTTTGTGCCTGACAAGCAACTGAAAGCTCCAGTGTGAAGGATTCAGTGGCGTCTACTTCCTCTATTCACCCTCCCCGTGTAGGAGCAAAAGGAGAAACTACGGCGGCTGTGAAAGGTGAGAAAAAAAAACCCACAAATGCCCCTATCTAGTGCCCGAGGTAACAAAAACATAACGGCTCACATATTCAGGTGATTATATACTAATGAAATCCTAATACCATATTCCATACTCCTAAATGTTACACACTGGACCTTTAAGAGCCGCAGTCACAAGCACATAATGATATAATAATCGTCACAGTTGGGAAGCTGCATCGGCTCTTCTTGACCATTTTCTGACACATCCTCTTATCCAAACTGATGAATCGTGCCTGCTTCAGCTGAGTGTGTCTGAGTCAGCCCTGTTGACTTCAGCTGGACACACACACACACACACACACACACACTCAGCTCTCATCTAAATGACCTTTCAGTAGCCTATTATGACTGTATATATACATTACCCAGTGGGACTAGAACCCCTAACCTAATGAAGGTTTTGTGAATGGCTTCACCAAACAACACATAAAACCACACTCATATATAACACACACACACACACACACACACACACACACACACACACACACACAGGGATTTCCCGGATACGACCACACACATGACCACGCACGCACGCGCGCACACACACACGCGCGCGCACGCAGGCAGACGGCTAGACAGACGTCTGGGTTTTTACTCGGATGACGAAGCGGCGACCAAACTTCCAACTCGCCCCTTTTTACACCGAACAAACCCACCTTTCATTTTCATCCATTATCCAGCTCTCGGTGTCTCTACGGTAACTTCCTGGTAGTTTGAACACATTTAAGGTGGTATTTTCTACCGTTAAAGCCCCCCTCTCCCTCCCTCCTTCAGCCCAGCGTAAAGGCAGATTTTTCAAATGAAGCGAGTTGAACGTTACAGATCAAAGACAGACACAACGGCTCCGGAACCCCACCGAAAAAACTACAATATATGTCCAAACTTAGCTTTCATACCGGACAAAACACATTTTAAAAGCCCGAAAATGACCGAAATGAAGCAAAACGGGAGGTTCACTCAATTCGGCTCTGTGGGGAAAGCCATAGGAAGCTTGCGGTTTTTGGTTCAAGTTCAAAATCAAGCGTTATTAGTCAGAAATGGGTAAAAGTTCAACGGTGGTGGAGAAAAACTTCACGTCTTTTTAAATGAAGATATAAATAGTTGCGACAGTCTCGGGGGGGAAACAGAGGTTGTAATGTTACAAACTTATAAGCAGACATTCAATTGATTCAAAATGAAAGAGTGAATGCGTTTTGTGTGGTTAATTAAAGAAAAGGGGAAAAAAGCAGACACAAACCGACATCTCATAATGTGCCAAACGAGTGAACTCCACAAACTTATAACATGATGTCCTCCTGTCTGTAACTGCGAGGAGGTGTAACCGAGCAGACAACGAGTCCATTGGCTTAATTAACCCCCCAAAAAAACACCCGGTAAAGAAACATATAAAGTATATTATATGAATATAAGTAGTACTCACTGATTTCCATGCTCTGGAGGGAGGTGTAGCGCTTGCAGTTACAAGTACAGGAGACATTGGCGGCGGTGGCGTTTAAAACACCCATCAAGTTCAACATTTACGGGCTCCTAAAATCAGACATAAATACTCCAGAAGAGGAAGAGCTGGAGAAGAGAAAGCGACCGGAAAAAAGGAGAAGAGACTAAAAAAAAAAAAAAGGAAAAGAAAAGAAAGAAAGAAACTCTCTCTCCCCTTTCATAAAAAAAAAAAAAAAAAATTCCTCTCCTTTTTCTCTCCAGCCTCCTCTCCTTCCCTCTTTTCCTCCGTCCGTCAGTCCTCCTCCTGTCCTCGGTTCTCTCCTCCTCCTCCTCTCCGGTTTCTCCTCCTCTTCCTCCCGGAATCTATCTAGTTATCTATCTACCCTTCGGTCGGCCGTACCACCGCCGGTGAGTGCTCGGTACGGCCGGTAAACGCTGTTGGAAATGTCCGGTTCCGTCCGCTTTAGTGGGGGAAATCTGGTTGAACGGTTCCGTGTTTTCAGCCGAGTGACCGGCGACTAAACTGCTAAACGGACGTCTGTCTGGTCCTGTCTGTTCCCCCTCCTCTCTCTCTCTCTCTCTCTCTCTCTCTCTCTCTCTCTCTCTCTGTGTCTCCAGGGATTTCTCAGTGACTCCTTCCCTCCCTCCCTCTCTCTCTCTCTCTCTCTCTCTCTCTCTCTCTCTGTGACACCGTCTGAGTCTGTCTCTCATTTCCAATTTCCACTTGCTTTTTTGGCACATCACAGCCCCGACGAAAGCAGATAGAGGAAAATACAGACGATGAAGAGTCAGGGTCATTGTGACAGATTTTCCCCAGAGGGCTGTTAAAAAAAATAATAATAATAATCATACAGGTCTTAAATAAGAGAAGATTAAATATAAAGAAACATAAATTATGTACAGTTTTTGCATTTATTTATAAAAGAAAATCATAACCTAAAAGGTTTTCATTAAGGGACACTTTTTCTGAGTAAGCTGGCAAACTATAATTCTAACAAAAACGGTAATAAATTCTATCAGATTATTTCCTGTTAATAAAGCATAAGAGTTTTTGTTTTCCTCCTACCTTTTTTCTTCTTCCTGAAACTTAATCTTTAATAATAATCTACACATTAAAAAGACACATTTAATTTAGTTTTCTACACAGAAATGAACAAAACACTGAGATAATATGAGTTTTCTTACACCCCTTAAAATCAAGAAGGCCTGGTGACCCCCCCATGAAGCTTTGGCGACCCCTAGTGGGGAACCTCTGATGTAAAACCTAAAATTTGCTTTTATTTCAGTGCAACCGAGCTGGTGTCATGGAAAGAAATTTGGCATAGAAATTGATAATTTGTGCTCTCAAATCCATAAATTGTCTGTATAAATTACAGTCATGTCACAAAGTGTTAAAATTTTGACCAAAAAAAAAACTCCTCAAGCTTTTCCCCCAAACTGATCTCTTCAATCTGCGTCTATAAATAACACAACTTCACACTTTCAAAGCGCACGTAGTTCATACGCCAAAGTCCAATGTCTCGATCAGGTGACACGCCAATCCTTTTTCAGGTGTCATTTAAAGGGCCAGCGTGGACGATTTAGTGGCATCTACTGTATATCAAACAAATTTCGTTGTCATGGTAACAGTAATAAAACACGTGGTAAACGTAAAACGGTCGCAGAATGGTTAGATTTCAGAAAAGCTAATAATGTTTTTACATATCTGTTGCGCAGTTAACTTATTACGGTACGTTTAAATATGTTACGAAACATCAACGCTGACTTTTGGTTTCAAAAGTCCTGTGTTTGTCTGACCCGTCCCTCCTCCACAGGCCCTGTCGCTCTCTATTATTCACCTCCCAGATGTTAATGGGAAGGGTTGGCATATCACCTGCACGTAAAGTTGGACTTTGGTGTGTTTACGGCTGCTTGTTCCAGAGCTTTCAACCAAACCAAACACCATCCTTGAAGAAATCATTGAGAAACAGGGGTTACGATCGAGCCCTGGAACGGTGAGAGGTTGTAAAGGATTATCACATGATGCACACTGGCACCGTTTTAACCATACATAACACAAAAACCTGGTTCAACAGGCAAAATCCAAAGTATCTCATGGTCTTCATCAGCGAACTAACTTGACGTTCATGTGCACAAATGAATCACAATTAGCTTGAAACCATTAATTTAAACAGCAGAAGTTTGTCGAAGCAACGTGTCGAGTCGGCTCGCTCACAGTGAATCTGAACATCTACTTTTATTTCCGTCTTAATGCGGAGCAGCTGTTTCGGCTTCAGCAGTGTGTGTATGATTGTTGGCTAAAACTAAATCTAGATTTAGACAACATTTAAAAAAGCAACGAGGTAGCTTTCAGCGGCTGTGGCTCAAATTCAACACTCTTGGCAGCGGCCGCTCGATGAAAGCCTCCCGCTGGTGTCTTGTTGCTGTATTCACCCTTATTTTGTAGCCGTCACTAATGAAAGGCCCAAATAGGGGTGGGATGAACTTTAAGGCCTATTCCTTCGACTCTTGTGACAAAACATGAAAAACACAGCATATATTGTTACTCAAAACATGTTGCCAAAATATGCTAATAATATTTCTCATCTCAGTTAAATACACTTAATTGACACGCAGGCAGAAACCCATTAAGAACAGTGGACACGTGTATCCAGACTTTTAAAATATTTATAAACCCAAAAGTACTTTAAAAGCTGACTGAGATTGTAGAATATTTGTGTGTGTGTGTGTGTGTGTGTGTGTGTGTGTGTGTGTGCGCAGTGGATCGACAGAGCCAGACAGTATTACGTCAGCTCCATGATTGACAGGCCCCAGGGACCAATGGGGCGAGACTGTAACAGCATGTCTCATCTGAGTCAACTTTCAATTTAGGTCTGCTAGGAGTTTATAGCTGCATGTTAAAGTGGTTTTATTGCCCAGCTGGACTCATCAAAGCCCTGAACTTGTAGAAAGACAAGAATATACTACCAGAATGCATCGCTCAGGAAATAAAACATTAAAAAAATAATCATAATTTGCCAAGAAAGTGTCATAATGTGCTGATTTGAACTAAAGGTTTTGTTGGTAGATGTGATTATAACCAAGATATTAAAGGTCCAGTGTGTAACATTAAGGAGGCTCTATTGGCAGAAATGGAATATAATATTCATAGGTATGTTTTCATTAGTGTATAATCACCTCAATATAGGAATTGTTATGTTTTTGTTATCTTTTATCTTTTATATCTACAATCCCTGGGTTGCCTCCCATGGAGTCTACCGTGTTTCTACAGTAGCCCAGACTGGACAAACCAAACACCGGCTCTAGATGGGGCCATTTGCGTTTTCGCCACCACGCTTGGAAGGGCAGGGTGAAGCGAGGGAGTTGTAAACTGTTGTAACTACGCTGCTAGATGCCACTAAATCCTACACACGGGTCCTTTAAAGGGTCAGTTCAACCAAATTACAAAAAAATATCTTCAGCTTTCAAGACTGGAAACATTTAAATATATAATATAATATGTCATCATATTCAAGCACCATGAAGAAATCTCATAACTTCACCAAATAAAATGAGGACCTTATCGTGTAAGCTGAACCTGTACCACGTTTATTTTAGCTCTGTATGAATTGGGCTTGAATTATTCAACAGAACCAGTGAACACTGGTGTGTCAACATGATTACCACTGATTTAAACTGAACCGTACGGTAACACCTTTCAACCAAAAATAAATAAGATTAGTAAAATCAGGTCTATAAGCCTGATTACTATTACATTCAATATGACTGCAGGGTAGCAGACTATCCACCCCATAAATAAGATAGTGTGTAGGGGCTTCTGCTGCCCCCCGCTGGACAGAAATGATATCAACAGGACTGTGCAGAGGCTGGACAAAATAATGATAACAATTTCCCCCTTTGTCCTGCTGTCATCAGGTACTGTACTGTCTGCACTCTGTGCTCGAGGCACTAGTATGAACTCTTGAGACTAAATTCGCAGAGGTTTAAAACTTAAATCAGACTTCACACAATTAATTAGGACAAAAAACGCAAATGCCTGTGCAACATTTTGTGCCAATCCATGCAGTAGATGTTAACTCTGATCTGCTGTTACAGGAAAAGTCAGGGGATCACCAGAGTCATTAAAAATAATCATCTGGGCACAATGGATACCTGTACCAAATCCCATGGTAATCCATCCATTAGTTTCCTAAAAACCAAATATATCGACTTCATGTTGGCGCTAGAAGAAAAATCTGAAAGTGAGTAGGTTTCATCCTCTAGGGAATGTGATCGAGACGTACCTCTGACATCGTCTTACATTGGACATTGGTTCAATACAATACTGGTACAATAAAAGACTAGCAAGCTAAAATTCACGAGCATAATAAATTAGCATGTGCAGCATTTTAGAATTCAAACAAATGCATAGATGTTTTTTAATATACATACATGTTACATTACATACATTTACACATATTGCCACGTGTCTATTGGTTAGCATACTGAAATAGTCTGAGCAACAAAACACATTTTAAATAGTAGCATGGAAAAAGGTCTCAACATAATTCTTCTGTCTGGATTTATTTGAGAAAATACGAATTTGTTAAGGTGCCTAAAGTATTAGTTTTAAAATAAAATTGTTTAAATAGAATTTAGCTAAGGACGTATCTCAAAGGTAAAGCAGGTAAACCTCTTTTAATTATTTTCACAGATATTTTAGTGCACTTGGGTGGTCTCCTCGTACCTAATTTTTAATGTAGTAAAAGCCAAAGAGAGAGAGAGCTCATCTATTTGTCTGTGCTGTTTGTAGAAGGCCTTGGCACAGACAGCAGGCTGAGACAATGATAGTCGAGCTGGCAGTGAGTCAGTTTACCGTCTAAAAGGGGCTGAGTCACCAAAACGGACACCCAGGTGTGGTCATCCTTTGTCTCTCTCCGTCTGTGTCTTTCCCTCTTTATCGCACCCTTGAAGAGTGAATTGGGTGAATCATTGGGTTGAGGACTCGCTATTACTCTGCTTGTCTGACTCGCTGTTGAGAGTGAGTGTATCTATTTATCTTTGCCTTTGTGGTGTTTAGACTGAAAATGGCACTGCATTAAAAGAAGGGGCTACACTGAGCAGGATGGGGGGGGGGCATGCTGTTTCAGGAAACGGTGAGAAAATGAAATACAATCCAGGAACGGCAGTTTGAGTAACAGATCCCTGAGTTTTGAGGCTTATCAGACGCCAAAATAACTCACAGCTGTCACTATGACACAGGATTTTACAACCGTTAAAATTTATCATAGTGGCAATCATTTTACCTTTTTTTCCTGATTGCGAGATAAGCTGTTAGAACAATGGTGCGAGGTGCACTCATGGATATTTGATTGCAACCCTGTCCCCCTAAAAATTACATTCATATGCTAATAAATGGTTTTTGAAATACATTTTTGGAGGGAACTGACTGAGGAGGTGATCAGGGTGGATGTTGGGGGTACAAAGCACAGGACTTTACCAATGGAGACCAGCAGTCCACAGGGGACTCCCCTTTGTTCCAACAGTCCATTATCCCAAAATCCAAACAGTCTAAAAATGTCCTATTGGACCAA